TCAAAGCCAGGTGGCAGTACCACTGCATCTGTGTGCCCATCTCGACCCTGAGCTGGTGTTTGGTACCTGGTGCAGACTGTAGTCCCTGAGGCCTGTGCTTCTGTAACACCACTGCCTCCCCAGGTGGTGTTTGGCTCGTTACAACTGCATGGTGGTGGTAGTAGTCTCTCCAGCCTTGCTGCGGCTGAGCGTCTGGTCAGACCCACTTCCTGGACAGTGGAGAGAATGGGTGGCTGTCCTCTGGGTAGAACTTGCTTCCCTCCAGCCTTTGCACCGCCCTGCCCCAGAGGGGAGAGTTCACCCTTGTGTGGCTGCAGAACTTTGGCCCTCAGGTCTTGTGGATCAGACCTCCTTCCTCCTTACGTCTTTTAAAAAATCTCCTGAGGCGGTGGCCACATTCAGTTGAGTGTTGGAAAGTTGAGCTCCCCACCCCACCCTGTGGCACCACAGTCCTTGGCCACCCAAGGTTTTGGGTTCATCTAGACAGCCATGCTCACAAGACCCACGTGGGCTCAGCTGATTCTAGTTTATTCAGCTTTGTCAGCGGACTTAGGACAGGAAAGCCCGTGTGTTGGTGGGACACCTTCACGTGTGTCTCTTAGCAGGAATCTTAGCAGCCGTCTAGGGTAGGCACCCTTCCCCTCCGCTGCCACCCAGAGATGGCCCAGGTGTGCGGGAATGAGGCCACATGGGTGAGTGAAGGACCCACCAGACCCCCCTGCCCATCCCTCTTATGATGTCCTGCGCGTATGGCTTCCAGGGGTCCTGTTGAGAGGATACCTGGTTACAGGTTACTCTGCACTCAGGGAAGCCAAGGCCGTGACTTGCTCTCAGGTGTTTACTGCTCCTTCAGTCATTGTCCACATTCTGTAGTAAACTGTTCTAGGAGCATTTTACCATAAGCGATGTGGCCTTGTCCTGTCGATTTCCAGGGAAATAGAGCACAAAGAAGTCACTTGTCCCTGAACGGGGTGGGGGGGGGGGGGAGTTTTGTGCATCTCTGCTCTCAACTTGTGATCTCCACACTTGGGCCACGCCTCTCCGTTTGCCCCTTTAGCCTCTGGGAGAGGAGTGATGGTGAATACCACATTTTTCTTTCTCCCCTCTTGCAGTGCGACTGGCTCAACAACTACCACCTGACCTGCAGGGATGTGATCGGGAAGGAATTGCAGAAACAGGGCCGCCAGGAAGCCCTCGAGTGGCTCATCAGAGAGACGCAACCCATCTCCAAACAGCGTTAATGCCTCCCTGGTTTTTGTTTTTGTAAAATGCTCTGAGGAAGGGAAGAAACCTGGCGGATCCCTGCCATCTGTCCCCTTCCCTCTCCTTCCTTAGTTCCCCTTTTTACTTTGAGATTCTAAGAAGAACTGAAAATCTTCTGATCCTCTTTGATATTTTCTTGCAAACACTCAATCTTTTATGATTTTTTAAATTGTTGAGAACGAGCTGAGAATAAAATTGCTGCACCAGAAGGAGGATCCCTACAAAGCCAAACGCCGATGTGGGGAGATGCCCTGATCAGCTGCAGTGAGTTGTCTGGCCAGTGATGGTGAAGCACTGAGCGCTTGCTCTGGGGTGGCCAAGTTTCAGGTGCTAGTACATTATTCATGATCACCTTGATTCATGAGACTGTATTTATGATCAGTGAATAAAATGTCAAAATGTGCTTTGTCTCGGCTGGCTCTTTTCTCACAGCACTGTCCACCCTGCGTGTTAGGTGAGCTCATCTCCAGGGCTGGTGGCCTTTGGGGCAGGCGTTTTCCAGATAGACGGTCCCCTTTGAGGAGTGATCCCTGGCCTCCGCACATATTGTCTGACTTAATTGTAAGCCTCTCTTGCTTTTCTCTAGGAAATCCAGTGTTTTGGTGAGTATACTGTCGAAAGTGAGTCTTCCATGGTCTACCCTGTAGCATACGTTGTGTGGTGTCTCCCCCATAGCGCCTCAGTCCTCATGTCTCGTCACTTGTTCACAGTGTTCTGTGGCAAGTGCCTGCAACTCCCCGTCCTTGGGCTTTCTCTCTCTCTCTTTTTTCAAAAAAATTTTTATTTATTTTTGAGAGAGAGAGAGAGAGACAGAGTGCAAGCAGAGGAGGGACAGAGAGAGAGGGAAACACAGCATCTGAAGCAGGCTCCAGGCTCCGAGCTGTCAGCACAGAGCCCCACACAGGGCTCGAACCCACGAACCGTGAAATCACGACCTGAGCTGAAGTCTGATGCTCAACCGACGGAGCCACCCTGGTGCCCCAGTTGGGCTTTCTCCTGCGTGGGGCAAGCTTCCCAAAGTCTGCAGAGCTAATGCCCCCAGGGCCTCAGACCATCGTGGTTGGGCATGGGAGGACAGACCTCTTCAACCCTTGGCTGGGATGTCTGGGGTGTCGTCTATACTGTTATGGGGTTGCTCAGCGGGATGAAGCCCCACTTCCCACCATGGTAACTTGTTCTAGGACCCTTTATTTTCTTCCTTTCCTTTGGTTTGACTTTCCCTTTCTCCCACCAGCATTTCCTGGGGCCATCCCCCAATAAACCATTGACATGCATGCCCTTGTCTTAGGGCCTGCTGTTTGAAGGAACAACCTAAGACATAGGCTGGAGATACAGCTACTAATCTGCTCTATATTTCCTCCAACTTCTTTCTTTGTGCTCAGTACTCAGTAACATGTAGGATGAATATATGTGTATATAAGAATATGTATCCAGAAACTAACATAGCTGTGTGTCAATTATACTTCATTTAAAAACAAGTGGAAAAAAAGAGATAACCGTTTCCAGTCTGAATTTAACACTGAACATTAGAAATGGAAACCTTTTGAATTGACAGTGTTGTGTACATACAACCTAAATGTAGTTTTTAATCTGTTAGAAAATTGAAGTTGTGTTTGTTTTGATGGATTAATTAGTAACTTCCAAAAGTACGTCTTCCTCTTCTCTACTATCAAGATGAAATTATCAATTCGAAACTCGAATTTAAGTTCTCTGAAACTGAGGGAAGTTTTTTAATATGTGAATATTTTCTGCTTATGAATTTATGATTTTAATATCTGAGAAATGTTATAATTAACCTCCTTAATCATAAAAAAGAAAATGTATATGCACGCATATGCACACATACACACATCATGCACAAACATTGGGTCATTCTATACCTATTATACAATTTGCTTTTTTAACTTGGGAGTATATCCAAATTGTTTTTCTATATTAGTGCACATACATCTGATTAGTTTTGATTATGTCATTGTATGGCTGGTTATTTTTAAAACTAGTTTCATTAAATCTTAAACCATATCTTGGATTTGGATGGCTTTGAAAGATGAATAAATATAAGCACATTTTGGACATTTCACCAAAGCGTGGTCGGCAATGTCTGTTACTTTCTCCAGCTGGGGAAACAGAAAATGAAATGACGGGGTGCCTGGGTGGCGCAGTCGGTTAAGCATCCGACTTCAGCCAGGTCACGATCTTGCGGTCCGTGAGTTCGAGCCCCGCGTCAGGCTCTGGGCTGATGGCTCGGAGCCTGGAGCCTGTTTCCGATTCTGTGTCTCCCTCTCTCTCTGCCCCTCCCCCGTTCATGCTCTGTCTCTCTCTGTCCCAAAAATTAAAAAAAAAAAAAAAAAAAAAGTTGAAAAAAAAAGAAAATGAAATGAGCTAATCTATTTTTACCATTCAGAACCAGGGTGCCAGCCTAGGAAGTTTCACTGATAGGATGGGCCGAAATTGACAGAATGTCTGAAAACACTTGCCAACATTTCCAGTGTCCCTCCTCCCGTCTTTTCTCTCGAGGACCATTGATTCCAACGTGCTATGTGGGAAAAAGCAAGATACACGGCTAGTTCTCAGGTTGTATTTGTGATGTGGCTTCCCAGTAACAGGATGTATTTTGATCCACCAAAGATCAACTCTTAATTGTGTTTGTTTCACACATACAAACTCATATTTCTATGTCCCATAGGATTGGACTTGAAAGAAGATTCTCCTTAAACGATAGGATGTATTAATCATGTTTCTCCTCCATCATCCCTGTAAAAGTCAGAAGACCTCCCCTTTAGGACTCAGACTGTTGTCTCCTCCGAGATCCCGAAGGTTTCCCTCTCTCAGGAAGTGGGAGCTGTGAATTGCAGTTGAGTTGGAGTTTAAACAGACCGTAACTCAAGTGTGATGGCAACTCCACTGTTTGTTCATTGGGCTGTTAAGCCTGTCACTTCCCAAGGCAGCCTCAGAGCAAAGTTTGATTTAATTGGCTCAAGCCCAAGAAGCAAAGTTTCCTGGTGCCGGGTGCCTGGAGCGTCCTGCCTGGATCTTCATGTCTTGGCATTAAGTCCAAGAGACAAGATGAGGTGAGCTGATCCCAGAAATCTGGAGAACCAGAATAAAACTGCAGTGTGCAAGTGTTCAGAGGGAAGAGGAGCTAAAATGTGGATCAAAGGACTCTTTTTTTTTTTTACTTTCAAATACGTGATAAAAACAAAAAGTTTGGGTGTAAAAACAGGCAGCAGGCTAAATTTATGGAATAATTCCTGGGAAGCTGATTTTCTTTTTCTTGCTCAGTTTATGCCCTGGTGAAGTTTAATGTACAAGGAAGTGAGGATTCCAGGAAGGGAACAGATGTGGAGCCGACGCCATGGACACCCCAGGGGCTGGCTTCCCACTGATAAAATAAATCCATCCACGTCACTCGAACTGTGTGAGGGGCCTGTCCACCGCCCAGCCCTTAGCGCTTGTGCAACCTGAGGGCCGTCCTGGCATCCAGCTGCCTGACACTCACATCCTTCATTTCCCATCAGATAGGAGTGAGCAATTGTGCAAGGAGGCAAGGTTGTACCTGCGAGCCACGAAACACGTTTTGCCCTTGGTGTTTCCCCACAGGTGGGGGGTTTATTCTGCAAAGACCGGAAGACTCAGCAGGAAGCACGTTGTGACCCCTTCCATGCAACAGCTTCAGTGCTGTTGGCTCCTAGGGGAGAGGCAGGGGGGCAGTGGGAGGGCTGGGGGCGGGGCTTGGCAGTTAAAGCCCATACTGTGGTTGCTGGGTGTGGGAGTAGTTGGGAGTACAGAGTAAGGATTAAATACACAGGATCGGCATTTAAAAACAAAACTGCAGATTTTGGTAAGGTGGCAGTTATGGTATAGGTTTTGGATCTCCCCACATCACCCCATAAAAACAGAATTTGGCTGGGATAGCAAAACTAAAACTCCTGGATGAGATCCATGCCAGATCTAGGTGACAAGCCCCACAAACCCTGAGTACGAGCAGGTCGTCTGGTAGACCCAAGAACCCCCAAATGATGATCAGGAAGTTGAAATCGCAGTGAGCCAATTCGGGAGCGGCCGCTGGAACTGGGGGTGGTTTGCACACCCCAGTGGGTGAGTGGGAGGGATTTGTGGTGAGGCCTGCAGGGGCTGGAGCAGTCAATGTCCCAGGAACTTCTAGGACAAAGTCCCTCGCTGAGGAGAAACTGCTGGGGACAGGATCCCAAAGGAAGCGGTGCAGGTGCAGGAGACACAAAGGAAAGCAAAGGTCCAGTCAGAGGGAACAGAGCCAGGACTTTGAAGGAAGTAAGTGCTGTATTTTTTAACACTTCACAAAACCAACAGGAAAGGAGGCTCTTGAGCCCTGAATGAAGCTATCCTAGTTCAAGTCTCTTCCATAAGTTCAGAAAAATGCATTTCAACTAAAAATGGGCAATGGGGAAAAAAGATTAAAGAGTTCTTGCAAACTTGCAATTGAAAAAAATTTTTTAAATGTTTATTTACTTTTGAGAGAAGGAGAAAGAGAGCGCGAGCATGAGTAGGGGAGGGGCAGAGACAGGGAGACACAGAATCCAAAGCAGGCTCCAGGCTCTGAGCTGTCAGCATAGAGCCTGATGCGGGGCTCGAATCCACGGACCGTGAGATCATGACCTAAGCCAAAGTCGGAGGCTTAACCGACTGAGCCACCCAGATGCCCCAAGTATTCTTGCAAACTTAAAAAGAAAAATAATCTGCAGGATGACCTGCCTACAGTGATACCACTTTATCACGACATGCTCCTAAAACAGATGAAAACAAAAATGCTTCAAAACATATCTACACATTTAAAAATAACATGCAAGAACAACATGAGACACAATTAAAAAAGATGAGAAATTGAGAATTCAGGAAAGAAGTAGAAAAAACAATTGTTTAAATATGAAGGATCACAGGGGCCTGGTGGCTCAGTCAGTTAAGCATCTGATTCTTGATTTCAGTTCAGGTCATGAGCTTGTGGGTTGTGAGATCGAGCCCCTCTTTGGCCTCTGCACTGATAACGTTGAGCCTGCTTGAGATTCTCTCTCTCTCTCTCTCTCTCTCTGCCCCTCCCCTGCTCTCTTTCTCTCTCTCCCTCTCTCTCTCTCAGCGAATAAATAAGCATTTAAAAAAATGGAGACACCAGAAGGAACATGGCATGCATGAATAAATGCAACAATGTTTCAAGATCAATAAAAGGTGAGTAAAGGAAACAAAAAGCAAAAACAAACAAATAAAAAGGATTTAAAAGAAAGTGATAGTTATAAAAGACAGGAAAAATATAACATTTATGCAATAGGTTTCCCCAAAGAAGAAAAATTAAGCAAGAAAACTACAGTTCTAGAAAACATTCCCAAAAAACCTCAAAAAGTTTGAAAGTACACATGGAAGAGGAACACCCTAAAACTGAATAAACAGACCCAGGGTGACCAACAGGACATATTGTAATAGTTATTCTACTTTAAAGAAAAAGAATGAATCCTTTATATTCAAACAAATGATCCAGTAACTGAACAGTAGAAAAAAAATGTGATATTTCCATCCAGAATTGTTCCCAGTGACACTTGAGGTCAGAAGTAACATGGGGTTGTGGTCCCAAGACTGTTCATTGTAACTCAAGACTCACCTTTGTTTTATGTGTTTTTTTGTGTGTCAGATGCAAAGGAGGTAGGAGGTACCCACCTGCATCCTGTGCCCTGTGATGAGGAGGGGTCACAGGAGAAGTGTTAAAATGTGATTTTATTGGAAGACAGTGTGGAGGTTCCTCACGAAATTAAAAATAGATCTACCCTATGACCCAGCAATAGCACTGCTAGGAATTTACCCACAGGATACAGGAGTGCTGATGCACAGGGGCACTTGTACCCCAGTGTTTATAGCAGCACTTTCAACAATAGCCAAATTATGGAAAGAGCCTAAATGTCCATCAACTGATGAATGGATAAAGAAATTGTGGTTTATATACACAATGGAATACTACTTGGCAATGAGGAAGAATGAAATCTGGCCATTGGTAGCAACGTGGATGGAACTGGAGAGAAATAAGGCAGAGAAAGACAGGTATCATATGTTTTCACCCATGTGGATCTTGAGAAACTTAACAGAAGTCCATGGGGAAGGCAATGGGGGAAAAAGTTACAGAGAGGGAGGGAGGCAAACCATAAGAGACTCTTAAATACTGAGAACAAACTGAGGGTTGATGGGGGGTGAGGGAGAGGGGAAAAGGGGTGATGGGCATTGAGGAGGGCACCTGTTGGGATGAGCACTGGGTGTTATATGGAAACCAGTTTGACATAAATTATATTTAATATAAAAATGTGATTTTATTTTATGATTTTATTTTTTAAAGTTTATTTATTTATTTAGAGCAAGGGAGGGGGACAGAGAGAGGGGGAGAGAGAGAATCCCAAGCAGGCTCCACACTGTCAGCACAGAGCCCAGTCCAGGGCTCAAACTCACAAATCGTGACCTGAGCTGAAATCAAGAGTCTGGCACTTAACCGTCTGAGCCACCCAGGTGCCCCAAAATGTGATTTTATTTTTATTTATTTTTTTATTATTAAAAAAAATTTTTTTTGACATTTATTTATTTTTGAGACAGAGAGAGAGAGCATGAACAGGGGAGGGTCAGAGACAGAGGGAGACACAGAATCTGAAACAGGCTCCAGGCTCTGAGCTGTCAGCACAGAGCCCAACACGGGGCTCGAACTCACAGACCGCGAGATCATGACCTGAGCCGAAGTCGGACGCTTAACCGACTGAGCCACCCAGGTGCCCCAAAAATGTGATTTTAAAGAGGAGCTGAAACTCGTGTGTGTGTGTGTGTGTGTGCGCGCGCGCGCAACATGCCCCACTTTTTAAACATCCACAGCTGATTTCACATGAAAGAAAAAACAAAAACGTGCATGGGCCAAACAAACATGTGGGTCCTGAATTGAGTTCTTGGGCAGCAGTTGTGTCTTCTCATTGGATGCTCAGCTCCAAGACAGACCAGGTGACTGCTGCCGATCGAGGGGACGGCTGCACCCCGGGTTCTGCTCTGCCCATCCGCTCTGAGAGGCCATGCTGCAAAAGACACACAAGGTCCCATGGCTAAGAATCTCTTCCTAATTGTTAGTGTGAACATCTTTTTATTTTTATTGTTTTATCACCTTTTTGTAAAGAGGTAGACCAGACCATAGGAAGAAACTGAGGTCAGAGCGAAGGCCAGACGAGAGCCACACCAGTTCCTGGTCTCCTGGCTCTCGGGGCCAGGGCTCCTTCCACTGCGTCCCCAGTGCCTGCCCTGCCAGCAGGTACGGCTGCCGCTGGCTTCAGCCTCCCTGCCGGAGCCCCCTCCTGTCCTTCATCCTTCCAATTCTTGCCTTCTTCTGAATCTAGTTCAAGTCCCACATGTCTCTCCACGAAGTGTTTCCTGACTGCTCCAACTGAACGTCCCTGCTCTAAATTTCTTTCGCATTTACTTTCTTCACAAACTGTGATGGATATTTCCTTCTTAAAATCGAACTTCCCCCATGTCTCTCCAACTAGACTTGTAGCTCCTTGGGGTCCAACACCAGCCATTGCCAGGATAGGGCACACAGTAGGTACTCAATAAATATCTATTGATTGGTGGAGTGATGTGAAAACATGCTAAACACATTTATAGGAGAGTGAATGACAGGAGTGAGTTGAGTTTGGTCCCACCTCTTACTAGCTGGTGTGGGGCAAATTATGTATCTTTTATGTATCCTGATTGTCATCTGTAAGTGGAGATGATATGATATTTACTGTTAGCATATTCGTGAGGATTATGTGACAAAATGTGCACAAATCACTTAGCCTAATGCTAGACAGCTAGTTAAGTACTCAATTAGCTGGGACATATGTGTTTTTAAGCAGAAGGTGAGATACCCATTTTGTTTTAAATTCTCTGTTTATTGTCCCCCTATATCTTCCTTCTCTAATTTTCTCATATCATTATTATTATTTTTTAAATTTAATTTTTACTTTTAAAAATTTACATCCAAATTAGTTAGCATATAGCGCAACAATGATTTCAGGAGTAGATTCCTTAGTGCCCCTTACCCATTTAGCCCATCCCTCGTCCCACAACCCCTCCAGTAACCCTCAGTTTGTTCTCCATAGTTATGAGTCTCTTCTGTTCTGTCTCCCACCCTGTTTTTATATTATTTTTGTTTCCCTTCCCTATGTTCATCTGTTTTGTCTCTTAAAGTCCTCATTATGAATGAAGTCATATGATTTTTATCTTTGTCTGACTAATTTCACTTAGCATAATACCCTCCAGTTCTCTCCACATAGTTGCAAATGGCAAGATTTCATTCTTTTGGATTGCTGAGTAATACTCCATTGTATATATACACCACATCTTCTTTATCCATTCATCCATGGATGGACATTTGGGCTCTTTCCATACTTCAGCTGTTGTTGATAGTGCTGCTATAAACATGGGGGTGCATGTGTCCCTTCAAAACAGCACACCTGTGTCCCTTGGATAGATGCCTAGTAGTGCAATTGCTGGGTCATAGGGTGGTTCTATTTTTAGTTTTTTGAGGAACCACCATACTGTTTTCCATAGTGGCTGCACCAGCTTGCATTCCCATCATATCATTATTTAAAAAAAATAATAATAATAAATGTTACTGTTTAGAACAGTTTTAAATTTACTGTGAAGACAGTATTCCTTTGGTTCCCCTATTATTATTAGTTAATTTTTTTTTCATGTTTATTTATTTTTGAGAGAGAGAGAGAGTGTGTGTGTGTGTGTGTGAGCAGGGAAGGAGGAGAGAGAGGGAGACACAGAATCTGAAGCAGGCTCCAGGCTCTGAGCTCTCAGCACAGAGCCCGACGCGGGGCTCAAATTCATAAACTATGAGATCATGACCTGAGCTGAAGTCAGAGGCTTAACCGACTGAGCTGCCCAAGTGCCCCGGTCTCCCAGGGCATTATTATTAACATCTTATTATTATTATTATTAACATCTTACATATTATGGTGCATTTGTCACAATTAATGGAATGATGTTGATGCATTATTAGTAACTAAAGACCACAGTTTATTCAGATTTCCTTAGTTTTTACCCGATGTGCATTTTCTGTTCCAGGATCCCATTCAGGATATCACACTACATTTTGTTGTCGTGTCTCCTTTGGCTCCTCTTAGCTGTGTTTCTTGGACTTTCTTTGTTTTGGAGTGCTCTAGAGTGTCCCTCTCTTGGGATTTTTCTCATGTTTTTCTCACGACTAGACTGCGGCTCTGGGTCTTGGGGAGGAAAACCACAGAGCTAAAGAG